CACATATACATACACACACACAAACACAAAATCTACTTTACTTTGTAGACCATCTGCCTCCATCAGAAAGCAAAACACAGACATATGGAGGCCAACAGATTAATTCTAAATTCCTTGTGAAGAATTTTTTAAAAAATCTTTAAAACAAAAATAGCAATAGCTTATCTTCAGGGAAGGCAAGCAGACTGATATGGAGCCATGGGACCATAATTATTTTCAACCCTGAGCCATGTGCTTAATAATTGCTGCTTTGCCCCAACACGCCATGCTCCACATTAACCCCTCCAATGTAAGCTAATATCAACAGGGATATTACTGGCCCCTGCTGAGAAATTTAAAGCAAAACAAAGGAACTAACCCAAACAAAAGACTAATTACAGCATCCCAGAACTCTGAAATCAGCAACAGCTATGCTTTGTTTCTAATAATTAATTAAATGATGTTTTCTTTCTAATCATTAAAGACATTGTTTGGGTTACTGAGTTCAATAATAACGACAATAACAATAACTACTACAACAAATCATCTCATATTTCTTCCAGGATCTCAGGACAATTTGCATGGGGATCTCCATAACAACAATCTATGTGATAGTTTTGGCTGAAAGAGAGCAACTAGACCAAAGTTATCTAGTTGGTTTCTGTGGATGAAGGACTTGAACACAGGCCATCTGTTAAACACTACATCACATTGACTTTCATATATGATTGGCATATGAATACTCTGGAATATTACCACTGTGAAGTCTGTTTTCAAGACATAGTAAATAAACAGCAACAAACACACAAAAAGCACCCAAAAAGTATACAAGGATAATACAAATTCACCTACTTGAAAACTGGATAGAAAAGCCTGATTTGCTGATAAAGAAGTCGCTGTCAAATTGTAAGGTCAGTGAATTGAAAGTGCTGTAAATGTCCTCAGGAAGAGCTGAACCACTCCACTCTTTAAGCAAAATATTGCTTTCAATGGGACCATCCCATACTTTGAGGATGTCATGACCCACCTCAGTATCAAAGACAATAAAATGGAGACTGCAAATGAAAAAGGAACATGCAATGTATGTTATTCTAATCATCACAGATTGGGTTGTTTGCTAAAATTGACTGTGGAGGACCCATAATTACATCTTTTAGTTATCATATAATAGGATGGATAAAAGTTAATTGCCTAATCTGGTATATATCAGAACATGGACATCTGTCAATTTCTGAAGTATGACAGAGGGCATGATGATGATATCCACAAACCTGCAGCAAATAAGGGTATAGATTAAATTAATAGGAAAAAAATGGCCACCAGATCCATACTGCATAGCATAACCCACTGTTAAAAAGTGATCATGGTTATTTTTTAAAAAATGACACGTACTGTAAAATTTCCAAAGGGCTATGCTTTTATTGAAAATAATCACAGTTGGTGACTGTACAGTAGTAACATTTTATAATTAAAGGATAGACATATTACATTAAATGTATTGTAATTAAATGTAATTAAATAAATAAATTTACACACTGAACATGCTAGTTAAACTCTAACAAATTATTAACTTTTTACTAATTTACCATTTGTAACTTGTATATCATATAATGTGCATTTCTCAGAAATGCATCCAAAATGCTATCTATGCTTTTCTGTCTCTCCTTCTCCTGAAATATGAGCACTTTCCTTGCTGTGGAAATGTAATTTCTAATGGTTGCAATTTATAGTGTAAGAAGCCTTAACAAGATTATGTTGGTTAGTTTAACTGCTTTGGTGCTCCTTTTTACTTCTGGTGATGCTATTAAAATCAGATTCAGTATTCACAAGCAAAAAAGATGCTATGGTATTCCCTCCTCTCATTTCCTCCTTTGCAGTTTAAGTTCAAAGTAAAAACAAAGGTCTAACTCTGGAAGAATATAGTTGCTTAAACTATATAGCTTAATCTTATGAATTTCTCTGTTGATGTAGTGATTTGAAGCACATTCCTAAACCAGTTTACTGAACGTGAATTCTGAAACTTATTATTTGTTAGATTTATATTCTGTCTTTTATATAGGAGTTCAAGGTGCCTATGTAGTGCTCCCTCATCTATTTCTCCCCCAAACAACAACCCTGTAAGGTGGGTTGATCTGAGAGAATATGACTAGCCCTCATCTCATCTCATCTCATCTCATCTCATCTCATCTCATCTCATCTCATCTCATCTCATCTCATCCAGCTCTATAACCAAAATACTACATTGGCTCTATCTAGAAGTCTTTACATCAATGATCTGCCTTTAGGTCCTTTGTCTATCATTAATATTCACCAATATCAACCCATGATTTAAGAAAATTATAATCAGATTTTTGATCTATCTATCTATCTATCTATCTATCTATCTATCTATCTATCTATCTATCTATCTATCTATCTATCTCTAATATTTAACTGTTAATGTTTTAATTTGTTGAAAAAAATGCATACCTAATTGTTCTCCCAGGGTCTGCTTCTATAATCCAAGTACAATGCAAATTGTTATCATATGGAGCCGGATAACCTGGAGAAAGGATACGACCAGAAGTAGCAGCATGAATTCGTCCACCACATTCAGCTGAAAATAAAGGAAATAATACTTGTTTTAGGGGGAAGATTCAGATTTTATCTTATAAAGCAGTAGATACTGTAACTAGATGATATGGTTGATTTAGCAAAGACTTTACATCTTCTCCCATAACCCTGTGATTGTGAAAAGAGAATGTGTGTGTACCATAAAGATAGTCTCAGTGTGCGCCTGACTCTTGGTGATTGTGACCCAAGAAGTGGTCTGCCCCTGCCTTCTTCGAGAATGTTTTTTCAACTTCACAGCCTAGCTAATAGTCCTGGAATTTCTGTGTGGTTCTGTCATCCAAGTATTAGACAGGCCTCATCTGGCTTGGCTTTCAAGTCCAGACAAGTTCTGCTAGGTGCTGTAACTGGTTGCAAAAGTTTAACTTGATAGGTTTCCTATTATTATGAAAATTAGATGATAGCTAGGATTTTCATAGAAGGGAGGAGCTTGCCTCTTTGTGCTATACTAATAATAAAAGCTCAAAGAGGCAAGGAAGCAACTTCAGCTAGTTGCACTTGGGGGAGGCTCAAAGAAGATGAGCCTGGAGGTGAGAGGTCTTAGATGGGGCTTTGGGGGCATCAATAGATACAAAAAACAGCCTAGAAATTTAATGGAGTATATATGTATTCAGTGCTTGCTTAAACTTTATATATATTAAATCTATTGCTTTTAGTTGAAACTGCCTTTAGTACCTCATTCCAAGAAAGCCCAAATTACTGGATTTCTCATTATTCAAGGAATTAGAATGAAAAGGCATTGTGAGGCAGTTTTAGTATGACTTGATCACTTGTAATAATTGTGAAATTTCTGCATTGTAGAAATGTTTGTCTGAGGCTCTTAACCCATTTTTCCCAATCTGTTTAAGATACAACCAATATTGTATCTGGTCTCAGGAATGAAATCTCTCAACACCATTTGCACAGCCAGTTGCTCAGCTGCAGCATCCTTCTTTCCTCTCTTTGTTCTGTGGATTAAAAGGAAGAGTAAGAATTCCATCAAAGCCCACAAGTTCCTGAATTTTCATCTTTTATCTTCAAAGTTCATGTGATATGGTTGTAGGTATTTGTGGTATCATCTGACCCACAATGGACTAACAGGAAGGGATAATTGTCAGTGGTCTTGGTAATTCCCAGAAAGTGTTCTGTCAGATCCCTGCGCTATGATTCTAGAAGGCAGCACCTTCCACAAACCAGTGGATCCACCTGACACACATTTCTTTTTCTTCCTTATAGCAGTGAGTCACCAAATACCATGACTTTTTTTGCAGTCTTCTTGCAGTGTACAGCTGCATCTCTTCTGCCCTTCAGGAATCCACAGTTCTGCATCCTGTTCTGTGGTGTCCTTTCTTTTTCACCAAAAGCTCAGAGCCTGGTTTTCTATGAAAGCCTGAGAATTGTTTTTGAGTTCCAGTAGTGGAGATGTCTATATCTTTTGCTTCTGGCAGTCATTTTCAACACCAGCATTGTTTCTTCATAATCTGGTCTTCCTTATTTCTCTATCAGGTCCTGCTGTACTGCTTCCTTTGTCTGATCTGAAAAATTTTCATCTCATCAACAGAAGTGTGATCATGTTGTTCTAATCCTCTAATCCTTTTTCAAGTTATGCAATAAATTTTAATTTGTTGTAAATATAGGTCAGATTATTTTCAGGCATGATCATAAAAGGTGCCATAAATATGTCTGCAGAGTTCTGTCTACCTAACACTTTTGCTTCTTGAAATACTACCAGTAGAAGGCTTTTGATTTCTTCTTATTGCCTTCTAAACTCTCAAGCTTGGCAGATCACCAACTTAAAAAGAAAAGTTGTGGTTTTAGGGACCTTAGGATTAGACCTGGTTAGTATTTAGACAGGAGACCTGGAAGGAATACCAGAACTATAGACTAGATGAGAAACAACAACCACAAAGAACCAAAACTTTCCAGAATAAGGCAATAGCAAAACAATTCTATATTGTTGCCAATAAAACTAATGAGCATGTCCATGGTATTATGCTTGTGGGAAGCCAGCAGGGAAGGTCACAAATGGTGTGAGCTAGTTGCCAAATGCCCAAATCGCGATTATGTGACTGCGGGGTTGCTGGGATGGCCGGAACTTTGAGGACCGGTCATAAGTACCATTCATTCATACAGTCACTGAACGAGTAGTCATTAACTTAGGACTACCTGTAATGAGATCCACTGAGGTTAGAAGGCATTCCTTTACTTATTGGGAAAGTACAGCAAACTTTCACAAATAGATATGGATGCAGTGATGTGACAGAAGATGGAGAAGTCCAATCAGACAGGATACTTTAGGTGCAGATCGTACAATAAATCATTAATTATAGCTGTCAAACAGGTTAAACTTAGAAAATAAAATATAGTAGGTATACTAGCAAGATTGGACGAAGACATATGATCAAAATATAAGATCAACGTAAAGAACAGATGCATTATATTTAACTTAAGCAAAAGAGACTCTTAGGCACTATGGGAAGAGACAAGAAAAGCAAGGGGGGAGGAGTATTCTTACAATTTCAAACATGAAAGATCAAAGTGGCTTTCAAAACAAACTATTATGATAGTCAAAGCAAAACATTAGATAAAAGCCTTGGACAACAAGAAAAGCACACAATAATTGAATACAGACTTCCACAGTAAAGCAGGAAAGGATTACAAAAGGTATCTCAATCAAGAATATCACAAAATACTATAGAGGAAAATAATAAGGAAAGTAAGAGTTGTTTTAAAGATAAAGAAAGGTTGGGATATTCAACATAACCACAGAAAAAATATAAGAAAGATAAATTAGGTTAAAAGAAGATGGAAAGACTACAGTGAAAACTTTTACAAAAGGTATCATAGGATGGTTATCCTGGAGAAAATCTTTTCTGTGATCACTAAGAGTTGACACCATCTTAACAGCACATAGTCAATCAATCAATCAACTATAAAATAACAGATACCTTTGTGGAAAGGAAATATATTCAGGAACTCATTCCACTAGGGACTGAGGTACAACAGGTACAACAGCTGTCAAGTTGGAAAGCACTAGCTACAGATGAAATACCCATGAAACTGTTTAAAGCTACACAAGAAGTGGCAGTCAAAGTGATAACAACTCTATGTCAACAAATATGAAGCAAGATTATGTAAGTATTAAAAAAAGATTGGTACATTATACTGAAGAAGAGAGATGCAAGAGAATGTGGAAATTACTGCACCATCTCACTAATTCCTCAGAAAAAGCAGCACTTTGCTTAAGCTCTTACAAAGAATAGAGCCATACATGGATCAAATGAACAGGCAGGTTCAGAAAAGGTAGAGTGTCATGAAATCAGATAGTTAACATAAAAAGAATAGCATAGCATAGCATAGCATAGCATGAGGTTTACCTTTGTTTTATTTACCAAAGCAAGGCATTTAGATCATGCCAGAATATGGAATATATTAATAGACATGCCAATATATTTAATAATTAATAATTTATATAACAATATATATTAGAATAAATGTAAGATTCAAAGAGATGATAGCTGAAATTAAAATAGCAGGCCAAGCCACAAACAACTTGAGTTGCAGTCAACACCACTTTGTAAGCCAAAAATAAGAAAGAACAACTCATTATGAAAGTAAAATGATTTCTTTAAAAAAATCTGGCTATTAAAAAATCAAGAAGGCAAGGGTAATACTAACCATCATGCTTAGGAAATTTATAGCTTATGGCAAACAAGTGAAGATCATATTATTTTGAGTTGAACAGTAAAAATGGACAGATTAATCCTAGAGAAGAAAACAATAATAATCTTCAACAACATTATTAACAGATTATTTTCATGACGACGAAGATTGGAATAGTTAAGGCAATTGTATTTTTCATGGTAATGTATGGGTGGGAAAGGTAGACACTGAAAAAGAATGAGAGAAGATAAGTGCCTTCAAATATGGATTTGGAGTTAGTTATTAAGAGTAGCACAGACTGTAAGAAGAACCAGTAAATCAATCCTGGATTAAATAAAGATTCACTGCTCTCTTGAGGCAATAATCAGCCAGCAGAAACTCACACACTTTAGACCTGTGATGAGAATGAATAATGAACTAGAAAAAATGACTATGCCTGGCAAGATTGAGGGAAGTAGAAGTAGGGGAAGGCAACTGATAAGTTAGATGGATGGGATCAAACAAATTACAGGACTGTCCTTGGAAGAACTACAAGTTGTTAACGGAGACAAGTCAAGATAGTGAGCTGTGGTTACCAGGATGAGTCTGACTTGACAGCACCTAATCAACTTAAACTTTCTCACTAAACTTCACTTGCAGACGTCTCTTTACTCTCCCTGTTTGATAGCCATGTTTATTTAGAAATAATTACATTTCAGAAGCTGGTGTATTAGAATGCTGCTTTAAAGATGTAGTTAGAGCTTAAAAAGCAATTAACATTTAACAACTAACTACAAAAGAAAGTATGGGGACCTCCTTGATCCAGAACTGATATTGAAAACCACATAACAACAGTGGCAAGGGAAGCCTTTCATCAGATTTGACTAATTAACCAGTTAGATCCCTATGTGGAGGAAAGAGATCCGGTTTAGTGATACATGCTTTGGTAACCTCATGATCAAAAAATTGTAATTGGCCCAAAATGCTGCAGTATGGTTGGCAAGTAGAACCTTATGATCACCATATTATTATATCTACAATGGTAGCCAATTGCTTTCTAAACCCAATTCAAGGTACTCAATTTGATATATAAAGTTCTATATGGCTTAGGCTCAAATTACTTATATACCTTCACTCTTATATCTGAAATGGGACACCTTCTCTAGATCCTGCCATGAATCTATTAAACATCAAATAATCTTCAACAACATTATGAAGGTCCAGAATTTATCTATTAAACATCAAATAGATTCTGGACAAGGCCCATATTGTAAAATAAATTGCTGTTATTGCTGATACTGGCCTTTTCCTTATCAGTTTAAGAGGGGGTTTAAAAATTACCTTTCTAATGTGATCTGGCTACAGATACTGACTATACTTCTGGTAAACTGCATTCTTTCTCCAATTCTCTGCCTGTTAGGTTTCTCAGCTCCTCTCAATGCCAGGCCAACTGCTTCCCAGCTATAGAGGCTTTATAGCTATAATGATATGTATATACTATACACATATATGTATGTATGTATGTATGTATGTGTGGGGATATATGAAGGGGTAAATCATAAAATCACAAATTAGTGAAGTTGCTCCCACTGTAACATCTAGAGCTGGGGGATATTCCTTAATAGCACAGCTTGGTTTTGTCTTTTTTTTTTTTTCCTGGACAGGTATGCACATTTTCAAACAGCATTATTCTGCAGCCACTATCATTTTCATTTTTTGAGAATACATATGATATCAAAGCCACCTTTTAAATAAAAATGAAGCTAGAGCTTTGCTTTTTGCTTTGCACTATGCCAGCTTTTCATTTCTTTAGTTTTTAAATTATAAGCATTAACTTAAAAAGAAGTGAAGTCCAATGGAGCAGAGAACCTGGAAGGCACCAACGGGGCTGATTGCTGGCACACTGGTGACTACAGACATTAAATTATAAATTCCTGCAATATAGCAGCAAAGATTAAAACTCCATTCATATTTCCCAGAAAAGATAACCTGCTTTATTTTTGAAAAATCTGATGGACTTCAAATTAACTAAAAAATTATAGTTGATTGCTTAATGGATATGAAATTAGTCTGGAATAGGAAACAGTGGTCTTCTGTGTAAGTAATACAACTATATACTCAGTCTACAAACAATGGTCAAAAAATAGTTTTGGTATTGGGTGTACCAAAACTATGTATGAGATTCTGCTACTACAGTGCTTGTGAAACTATTTTCATCTGAGTTTATGTCTCAAATCCAGTATATGAGCATTTTGCGTGAACATATTTATAGTTTTTTATAACTTAATTTCACTATTTTTGTTCTTGTACTACTTGTTCTTACTGTTACGAGAACACTACTTGTAGTTATTTTGCTAATATAGATGTACATAAAATGGTACTGTTAAAGAATAAAATTGCAAATTATATATTTCCTTGCAAAAGAAGAAACTTCATAATGAGTGAAGAGAATCTGGACAATCCAGAAGAATGCCTACAGTTCTCAAAAACACTATTTTCTTGCTGTGCTAATAAATAATGTAAAATAAAAATATTGGACATTGGAATTAACCTATCATGTAAGTAATCAAATAATCTTCTCCCTGGGATAATGTTAGAAGAATACATATTCAACATAACCTGCACCATTTGCAGAATCATAGAATAAAAAGATTGGATTTTTATCATGAAATCCAAACCCCTGCCAGTTCAGAAATCCATTACTACACAATTCAGCCTCTCTTCAAACAAAGGAGGAGTCTACTGCCTCACATGGCAGTCTGTTCCATTAGGAAACATTTCCTGATATTCAGCCAAAATCCACTTATCTGTAATTTAAACCCATTGCTTTTTTTTTCTAGTCTTCTGGAGCAACTCTAAACAATTCTACTCAATATTCTGCACCACTGTCTTCTGATACTTGAAGACAGCTATCATATCTCCCACAGTCTTCTCCAGGCTAAACATTTCCACTGCTTTCCACTGTTTCTAATAGGTTTTTCTTTTTTGTTGCTTTTAGCTTCCCTTGTGAAGCTAAGTTCCTTCTCTGCTTCAGCTTTTTTACTTTTTTTCCTGCAGATATTAGGTACTTACTGGTACAACTCTTTGATGATTATATCCAACTTCTGTTTTCTATACATGTCCCTTTTAACTCTTAGCTCAGTCAAAAACTCCTTTTGCATTCACATTGATTTTCTAAGCTGCCCCCTATTTTTTAATGGAAAGGTGTGTGATTGTGCTTCCAGTATCTCATCTTTGAGAAGTTCCTAACTCTCCTGTGCTCCCTTTGACTTCATGGATTTCTGGCCATAAGATCTGGCCTATCGCTTCTCTAGGCTTATTGAAAATGGCTCTCCTAAAATCTGGTGTGCATGTAGATTATGCTCCAATTTCTCTTTCTGTAGTATCTTGAATCCCAATATGACACTCTTAATTCTTCCCAAAGTTTCCATTGCTTTTGTCTCTTCAATCAGCTTTTCTTTTTTGCTTAGAATCAGTTACAGGAGTTCTGATTTCCTTGTTTTTTCCTCAAATTTCTGGAAAATGAAACAGCAAAACCACTGAGGAATTTTGAGGACCTTGTAGTATTGGCCAAGTTGGTTTCCTGAGTGATGTTCTGGTAAAATCTCCCATTTTTACTATTGACTCTTCTCCCTTAAAATTCTGATCCAGAGGGGCTTGATGGTCTATAACAGACACCAAGGATAATATCACTGTTGTTTTCCTTTTTTTGTATTCTTATCCAAATGCTTTTTATACCCTTATGCTCAAGTTTCTGGTTTTCAATACTGATGTTCAGTTATTTCACAAATAATGCAACTCTTCCCCTTTATCTGACCTATTCCTTTTGAATAACTAATAGCTTTCAGTTCTTGCATTCCACTTGTAGGTTTTTCCAGCCAGGATTCTGTCATGCCTATTAAATTATATTTATCCTCCTGTTCTTTCTATTTCTTTCTCAAACTCTGTGTGTTTATAGAGATGTTGAAATCCTTAGGTCATGTAACTTGAGCTATTCCTTCCTGTATTCATGTGCTTAGTTTTTGATGCCTCCATTTCTGCATACCTTTCCCAATCTCAGTTCCAATACATAGAGGCCAGATCAAACATCAACAAGTTTGAAAACTCCCTTAAAAGTTAGTAAAGGAACAGAGGCTCGAATCAGTCTTTATTTGCTCACATAATTTTCGACCAGTTGCACACAGATTGATAGTCCCATATTGTACTAAGCAATGCTTTAACTATGGTTTATTAAATAAATTTGATTTCACTTAAGTCATATACCACAGTTTCTAAATATCAGTAGCTGGGTTCATGCAATATGCTAAGCCAATATCAAACAATTTGTTTGGATTACTTGTGTTACAAAGCACTGTCTTTGTCCCAGGCTACTTTGGGTTTCAAATAATTAAAAGAGGAAATACTAAAATAATTCCAATTAATGAATTTGGGACAGGACAAATTTGGATTTTGTGGAGTTCAGGATTACAGAGAATTTTCTACATTGACTATCTCTCCCCACCTTGTAAATGAGACCATTACCTTTGAGAGGAATTGTTGGTAAAGTGCTAAACCAAACTTAAGGGCTTATAAAAACCTATGTCAAAAGAAAGCCATGATTTAAAAAAGATGGGTTTTGTTACTTTTCTGATCATTTCCCATCCTGTAAGTATTATTGAAGCCATATATACCTATCAAGAAAATAGATGCTTTGTGTGATTGAAGGTGGTGTGTTGGATAGAAGCAGAAATTTCTTGCCAGTATCTGGGGATTCTTGCTTACACAAAACATAAGAAGTTTTGATGTGTGAAATTTCTTGTCAGTTGAATATATACATCTTTAGATTGTACTGAATTTTCCTAAAACAAAATTCAAGCTAAATATCATAACATTTAAGATACATTTCCCTAAAATGAAATTCAAGTTATTAAGGCAAAATATGAGAGAATTTCAAGAAATGACAAAGGAATTTCAATAAAACCAGCAGAAATTTTATGAAAGTTCACACATCTCTAATTTCAGTAAGAATACTGAAACAAACTGAAAGAAATTGAGATAAGTTACATGTTATTTCAAACATTATGAAAACTGTAATAATGATCAATAAACAAAAGTTGAATTTATATTGTGAATTTTTGGTATTACCTATGCAAGTAGGCAAGGGTTTGTCCCAAACTCTTCGATCTCCACTTAAACAGGTAATAATATTGCTACCATGCATCGTGTAGCCAGGATTACAACTGTATAAAACTGCTGTGTCTGTGTAATGCCCTTCATCACGGATCCTGTAGCCATAATTTGGTGTTCCAGGATCTTCACATTTCACTAAATCAAAGCCTGGGGGGAACAAAATAGAAATTCTGTTTACATACCATATTGAGTTTATACATTTGCTTACTTGAGTCTGGTACAAATAACTAAGCAAGTTCTCCAATCCATTTAGGTAATTATGAAGCTACTTTAAAAAAGAGGCATGTGACAAATAGCAACATGTTTTAGTTGTCAGGTTCGGTCAGCACAGGGCTTCAGGGAAGCTCGCAGCCAGACCACGCGGAATCCACCGACGGTAGCTAGCGGGGAAAAGAGGAACTGAAAGCGCCGCTAATTAACGGGCCACCTGCGCCCAGCCAAACCGGAAAACCGCAGCGGAAGCTTTTAACTATAACCAGAAAACGGCGGGAGCCAGCAATGAACGGGGCCGCAGGCAGCGAAACAAGATTGCAACGCAGCACAGAACCCGCGGGCTTGCACGTAACGGGGAGAAACAAACCCGGCCGGAGGGGGACTGGCAATCAAGGACAATGGACCCTGACCAAACCTGCCATCATG